GATAAGAAATACCTGGATTTCAATGAGACAGAAATCTCTCTGATCCCGACAAATAGCACTAGACAGCTGCTTCGTCCTGTTCGGAACAAATATATTTATAATATCGTGTTTTGGTTGAACCCAAGGGAGTATTCCCTTGTACCAGGCACTGTTGAATATATGCATTGCTGATGAGTCCCCAAAAAGATGGAACGGCCATTCAACGCTCTTTGTTGGTGGTTAAAAATATTTCTATCGTATGTAAATGCGTATAACTAGTGCGAAATTACCGGTCTATCAACTAATGAATCCCAAACATAAGGTTAACAAAAATTACCTAAAACCGGTGACAAACCACAATGAGCTTACTTGACAGTAAAGCAGGCATATCCATTGATCTAGGAGATTGCTAACATAGTCTGTCATAAAACAATTTCCCGAGGAAGTTCTATTCAAAACAACAGCAGTGGCGAATCTCGCTTGAGAGTTATTATTCACTGACTTTCGTTGTGAGAGTGCATTCGGTTACATGGGGGACTGAAAGGTCAATGACTAGGGACTGGCCAAGTGAACCATTTGTGAGCTGCCAGAGTAACTGGAAAATCCGGATTTCCTGCCTTCCATAAGGAAAAGATCAAGCAGCTGCCAGGATGCTTTACTCCCTGGAAACATTGGAACGTTAGGTACAACGGAGCATTCGGCACTCTGAACAAACGAACTACGTCTGGAGGATGTGATATCAGCATTTTATGAAACTGAAGTTTATACATTCAAAAGGGAAAATGTTAACACTGCGTAATATAATTAAAATGATTTTCTCCCATCAGATCTGTATAAATAAATCACATAACAACATCGCACAGCGCACTGGCGTTCATATACTATAGAATCCATGCTAGTGGAATTTGCTGTGATATACATATTCCACTGCAAATGTTTTTGTCTGGATGTTGCGTGACAGAGTGAGAGATTGCTGCAATCCAAAACATGCGATTGAAATACAGCTGTCTCTTCCGTTTGGGAAACATCCTGTCTAGTAGGCATCACGCGGATTACAGTTTGCTCTCAAACTCGAAAAACTTTACTGTGCAGCAAGCACATCCGTTAGGCTAGCAGGACCATCAAATCAAATAGGTACAATGCGACGGTGAGTTCCGTTTCCGCTTTTAACCACTTCACACTCTAATATGGGTAATTGCATACATAACTCATTTTGACTAAATAAAACGCCACTCTGTCTCATTCTAAAGACAACGCGGAACAGATATATATATATATATATATATATATATATATATATATATATATACAGAGAGAGAGAGTTAGCTTGCGTTTGCTAGTCCTATTGGGTGGCGAGGAAACATTCTCTGTTTTGGTGGAGAGTGAGGAGGATTGAAGGTGCACCCAATCGTTTACATAACTTGTTCGGGCCCTTAGGAGGACTTGAAGACCGCCGCATCTTTGCTATATTGAACAGAGTTTCTGGTCAGGGAGCCTGGGTTCACGACCCAGTTATAATAGGTGTGAGGCTTGATCAGACCATTCAGACTATCAATGCTCTGACGATAGAATAACTACATTGCTCCAAGGGCTTCAGATGTTTGGTTTGGCGTCCTAGGCGTAAGAAACCTGTTTGTGTTAGTTCACAGACTTTCATAGGTTCGGGCAATTTTATCGACACCTTGGCACTGTTTTGCCGGGCTGTGGGTTTGACAATGAGTCCCTCTCTCTCTATTCCCCTAGTTTCCCTATAGCCGCCTGAAGGATCCAGGTTCCAAAGACTCACGAGATAAAATGAAAGAGATGATACGATGGGTCGTGGACATGCATCGTGACGCTGAGAGCGAATTTGATCTATCATTTACAGTGGACCAGTGGGGTTTCCGGCGCGATTGGGTATTTATTTCTGTGGCATACCCAGACATAGATTAGCTAGGTGACTTTTTGAATAGGGTCTATCATGCTCCGCAAACATTTCACGTTTATCACAAGACTGCTTGCATTCGTCTGGCGCGGCTGACATGCGGTCTAGCCGTGAGGTATAAAATCGGAACTAACTCCTGCATTTGTAACGCCATTCTTGAATGTATAAACAAAAGCAATGAATTCCGGATAGTTAGGTTATTGGTCCACGTATTAGAACCCATTACGGTTTAAGATCCTGCAGTATACATGATTAGGCGATTTATACCATTGCAATGGCAATTGACGATCAAGAGATATCGGCAAAATTAACTTCTGTGCAATTGCATTATTGAGCACCTATGTAGCGGGCATTGAGAACGTAGGCAGGCATGTGACACTCAGTCGTTTATGCTCAGTATTAAACAGAAACAGTGGCGCATTTACAGCACTACAGCAGTAATGAGTAGATTGGTGTGATCAAGACTGGTAGGGGCGTGACTGCACCTGGCACACATAAATACGGAAAGGTGGATAAATGGCTTACGATGATGAGTGATGCCAAACCCAATTTTTGTGGAACGCCCACCTCACGGTAAAACCATAGAGGGATAGAGTGCTTGGGGTGTTGGGTTAGCAACCTCATATACAATAGCCCGATGAACTTTTAGAGGTGTATAATTGTCAATTGGTGCAGTGAAGGTGCGTCTGCTCTGGTCCGGAACAAAGAAGATGCGGAAAGACAAACAGGCGCCATTAGGGGAGACATTTTGGATAAATAAATTGTCATATGATAGCTCGAGGGAATCAAGATGTGGTGGTATTCGCAGCTACTGGCACTCGCGACACCGAGATGCGCGAAGAAGACCGAAACAATTAGTGATTAGGTTATTGGTAGAAAACAAGTTCGTTAAATAAAGAATTTAATGAAAAATCATAGGGTCATTCTGTCATGGAAATGGTTTATCAGACTGCTGTTTTTTTGTATCAGGCAAATTAAACGCCTGGATCCCTGTCCAGCGTTTATCTTACAGTCACGAATCAGCACAGAACAACGGATCTTCATAACCTTGGTCTGTAACTCTTCTGTTGATTATCAAGCAATAGCGCTTGTATTTTAAAAATTACAATCATAATAATCTCAAACATAAAGCATGTTACGAATGAGGATTGGGAAAATTGCGAACTTCTCATATGTTCGGCACTATTTTGTGCTTCATGATGTTCGCACAGAAATCGAAAAATAAGTTTTATTCTCTTCAGTGCATGGTTAGGCAGTTAACCTCAAAATAACACATCGAAAATAACTTTTTTACCTGTTTGTTGACGACTAATGGGGACTGGTCGAAAAGTTACTACAGATTGTAACTTGATTCTGGTGTTTTTAACTAAATGTTGTCCGAAAGGGGCTGAACGACGAACCAGTTTTCACGAGAACGTCTTGTCAACCAGATCGCCCTTTCATTCGCAGGCAGGCAGGCAGGCAGGCAGGCATGCACGCACGAAACCACACAGATTCAACAAATGTCCGTCCGTGATCGGGGTAAACGTCATTTAGTACCACTGTTGTTCGTTCGATTGCCCCTCCCCCCTCCCCTGGGAAGATGTGAATTCGCTCCATGTTGGATGAGAACGGTGTCGCATTCCAACAGTCCCGGTAGTAGCATGCTGTGTGCGTTTGCCTGTGCTTCGTGTGTGTGTGTGTGTGTGTGTGTGTGTGTGCATGTTTGTGCTTCCATACCACTGTGCATCCCATTGATTGTCCACATATCACAGCCCATACGCGGCCTGACCGGTCTCTTGTGGTGACAACTGCGGTAAAATGTTGGCTATGATGTCGATGTTGATGGCGAAATAACACTCCAACTTCACCGGTTCCACGCCCCAACGAGTCACCCACTTTGGAAGACGGGTGCTACAGTTAGGCACCACCGAGAGGCACAAATCTTTTGGACTAACGCAGATACATCGCATACTGCATGTATATGATTGGCCTCGCTTGAACGTGCAACATATTACCAGGCATAAAAGTTTTGGTCAAAAGGCAGATCACACGTATATGGATCTGTATTTATTGGTAGTGGTAAAACATATCACAAGCAGTTACTTCATTGTTTTATCAACGTATCGATTAATCGATAGTTTCACCTTTCCCTTCCGCATGCACTGTCGTTTACTATACATGTTCTTGTTCTATAATGACGCACCGTTGTACAACATTCTCTGATTATTTCTATTTCCCCTCAACTCGGTACCTACTTTTTTCATTCAGAGGACGAGGACACGGATCCAAATCTGTTGAAAAAGAATGTGGTCCTCAAGGAAGATAGACGACTGTCCAGTGACTTCATTGTTGGGGAGTATTTAGGAAGGTTAGTGAGTCTACAGACCAAAGAATCAACCAACTAACCAAACAAACAAACAAATTAACAAACAAAATTGAAGGAATATAGATAAGGTCTACTGTTTGTGGTGTGGTGTTTGGTCCCGATTTTCCGAAGATTGGGAGGGGCGCTTGGAAATGGGATGGGTGGAGCACCATGAGAGATACAATGTCTTCACAAATTGTTTTGGTGTACACAGGGGTGGATTGTGAATGTGGGTTCCCACGCTTCTGTTGTGGCCAGGATGCGATATTTAAGCCGCATAGGTTGTTGTTCACAAACCTAGTATAAAGGATGAAACGCTTTGGTCAAGTAAACTAAATGACTTGACTCAATAAGGTGTGAAACGCTTGCGCTGGTAAGTGACTTTGTCATCTCACTGTGCAAACAAGCCGGGTGATGCTCACGAACTCTGTGAGTTAAGTGTCTGCTCGTGCGACCGATATAAGCTGTGCCACAGGATGAAGTGAAGGCGTAAACACAGAATAAGATCACAGAAACAGGAACTTTAGCTTTGAGCTACCGCGTGAAGGCTGGTCTGGATGCGCCTGTGATACGCAATTTCGCTGCATGGAAAGTTTGACTGATCGATGTTGTCGATGTTAGAGTCACTGTTTCCGTCATAGTGCCACTTGTAAATGACCG